TGTAGAGTGTGTGAGAGTTTTCTTATTGGATCATTAACATTCTTAGTGACATAGTGTGTGTCTCTCAAATATACACTCACCATCCACTTTATTCGGAACACCTGTGCACCTGCACATTCATGCAGTTATCTAATCAGCCAATCATGTGGTAGCAGCACCATGCAAAAATCATGCAGATACAGGTCAAGAGCTTCAGTTAATGTTCATTGCATATACAATATATGGACAAAAGTGTTGTTTGTGCACAGGGGCATTGTCATTCTGAAATGGATTTGGACTAGACCCCTTAGTTCCATTGACAGGAAATTGTAATGCTACAGTATACAAAGACATCCCACACAATTGTGTGCTTCAAACTTTGTGGCAACAGTTTGGGGAAGGCCCACATATGGGTGTGATGGTCAGGTGTCCACAAACTTTAACATCCAAATTGGGTGAAAAATGTAGGAATTATCATACTACTTATATGCACTCCCTTGTTAAGGGATCAAAAGTAATTGGACAATTGGCTTCTCAGCTGTTTCATGGTCAGGTGTGTATTATGCATTATTTCACTTACAAGTAAACAGATACATTGTCTAGATTTGATTTCAAGTGTGGCATTTGCATTTGGTATCTGTTGCTCTTAACTGTCAACATGAAGTTCAAAGAGCTGTCACTGCCTTTGAAGCAAGCCAAATCAAAACAGACCACCAGAGCGATAGCAAAAACAGTTGTGGCCAAATCAACTATTTGGTACAAAAGAATTCTTTCCGTGGTGAAGAAAAACCCCTTCACAACAGTTGACCAGATCAAGAACACTCTCCAGGAGGTAGGCATGTGTGTGTGTCATCAATCAAAAGAAATCTTCACTGTAGTAAATACAGAGGATTTGCATAAATACAAGATGTATTAGAAACATACACTATATGGCCAAAAGTAAGTGGCCACCTGACCATCACACGCATATGTGTTTCTTGAATATCCCATTCCAAAACCAGGAGTGGATTTTATAAGTTGGTCAAGGTCTTCATAGAACTGTTCTTTGAATTGAGCATAGGCCCGGATGGTTACGTGGTGACTTCAGTCCAGCAGGAAGCGCAGCTTCATGAGGTGCTCATTCACTCAAACAGACAGGGTAGGGATGCTCCTCTTCATCAGGCTGGTTCTGACAGCAAATCCCACTCCTTGAATCTTGTCTTTGTTTTCTGGTTTTCCATGCCAAAATAAGGTGTAGCCACCTCCAGCCTCCTTTAGCATCCCTTCGTCAGTTCTTTAGAAAGAAGTGAGGTTCTTTTATCTGGTCTGTTGGTATTCCCTCAGTCTAACAATTGCAGACATTCCAAGCTCTGACTATAAATCTCTTTGCTTTTTTCTTTGTGGTACAAACACTTGATGATCTGCCAGCCGCAGTATGACCGCCAGCTGCAATGAGCCAGGCAATGTTTGGGGTACCTTTTCTAACCGCCTCCCTCATTCAAGGGTTTTGTCCAAATAGGATTGCCCAGTCACCCTGGATGCTGCCAAATGCCTCCACTGCTTCAGGTTCAAAGATGAGTGGCCACTAGTCCAAGGGCCGCCTATGCGCAGGTTCATGACTAAGACCGCCAGTGATCATATTCACTTGTCGCTTTGCCACTCCCCCATCACCACAGGGCTTGGTTGAGGGGAGGAGGGGAAGTTGCACTGGGGCAATCCCATTCATTCTGCCTTGAAAGTTTAATTCCACTGGTACGGTGAGTCATCACAACTGGAAACTGTAGTGGGCGACCGTGATACCTTACATGCCTTGTCATGCTCTGTGTTTTCCACGTAGCATTACAGGACCACCTTTCTGGCTGTTGTATCAACAGTCAATCTCATCCATCCCTCCAGAAACTGACTTTGCATGCTGAGGTTGGTATAACCCAAATACTCACCAAGGGTTTGAGACCCGATGGCTACCCTCAACTGTTTTAGCCTATATGCCAAAATGGTGTGCCAGGGCATGACTGCTGTGCATGCTACAGCTTCTTGGAGCACCGGGTGAGAACTGGGTGCCAGGTGGAGACCAAAGTCAGGTGGGTTGCCCTTTAAGTTTTTAGCTTTAAGTCCATAGTATCCAAGTGAAGTTATCCACTGTATAACGATTGAGACTTGAGTGCAAACTGTTCTCTGTTTAAGTGCAATCATTAGGCTATCCAAGTGAGATGATCAACACCCATCTTTAGGCTATCCATGTTTTACCATCCACAGCAACCTCACAGCAAACATTAGGCTATGTGGGGCCATCCATGTGGGCCATGTTGGGCCATCCTCAGCAGCAGCAAGTGATTCTCAGGTGAAGGAGGCTCCAAGCAGATGTAGAACATTAGCATGGGCCAAGTCGGTCCAGAGGGAAGGCATCTCATCAGGCAGCAGGAGTAACATGTGTTGTTCAACAGAGATAGAGAGAGAGAGAAAACACAGATTATTAAGTATGCAAGCAGGGACTTTGGCAAGATTACGTATAATTTATACCTAAAATGGATAGCCAGAAGGTAACACAGGCATGAGAGTGGGAGGCGACAGCACCCATACCTCCCAGTTTACCAAAACAATCTATGCCTATCTATCCTCCAGATCTGAAGCTTTACCTAAGAGAAAATCTATCAACAAAAGTCTTAACTAAACAAATATTCTTTCAGCCTCGACTTAAAGATTATGGTCATATACCTTCCATCACCATGCTGAAAAAATTCTCAATTGGATTAAAAGGAAAGGGGAATATGGCAGAAGAAAGATTACCTGGATAGGATGATGGTTGGCAAGCCATTTTCTGACATGTTGCAATTTGGAAGCTTATCCTTAAGCTTGTCCCATATGACAAAATACATTATGTTGTTGGGGCCATTTAGTTATAGCAGTTAGGCCTAAGTGTTGATTGTGTATGCATAACCCATTTCTGACTGCAGCACAATGGTTGACGTGACTTCTACCATGGCTCTGGGTCCTGTGGTAGTCCATTCCACTGACACATTGTAGTGTAAATGTTGCCTCATCGTTAAAGATGAACTGAACTCTGAAACAGTGATGAAAATACTGTTAATTTGTGCAAGTCAAAGGCACACAACAATTAGTACTGTATTAAGACTCAGAATACCTGCACACACAAGTAGCACATCTCTTTCATCCATTAAATGTTTCTCTCAAATGGCACATGATATATTTGCTTCCCAGACATACTGTTTGTCATGAGCAGATGATCGATGGTAGAAACACTGTGTATATTTTGAAAGATTTAATTATACTCCAGTATCTGATGCTGAATATCTCAAAGGCTTATTTGTATTATTTGTATAATATTTGTCACAACATTGTTCATAATTTCTCTTGTTCTTGTGTGAACATTCGGTTTCTCCCACCAGCTACTGGTCTTTTCTGAACTCTGTGTACAAACAGTGAAAGGCCAAGGTCAAACATGTAATCATTTTTGAGAACCAGATTTTTTCTAAGTTTCTTTTTCTTCCAGTGTTCTTACAATGATGATTTGTATCCTAATGTAAATCTCAATTGATTGACTTCAAATCATATAATTTGCACAGGACTTACTGCATTTTATTATAGGGATTATGCAGTCAAGTTTAAATTTATTTATTTACACACACACACACACAATTACACACATAAACGTAATATTTTTAAAAGGCATCATTTCATATTAATCGCATTAAAAAATATTAAATATTTAAAATATAATAAAAATGACAGCAATCCAAGCCAAATCCATTTTAAAACAAATAAGACTGCCATATAAAAGGAGGGCAGGCTGGTCTGTGCATATGGTATCCATAAGCTGAGGCACTGCAAATGGCAGAATCAATAATACTGGAAGACCCCATGCTGCACGTAGGAGGGAACGGATATTTATTGAGGATGGGGGTATGATGGGGGATGAAAGCTTGCTTAAAAGTTGGTTCTATTAGCCACTGCATCTTCCTTTTTTGCTGTGCAACACTTTAGAGCTGGCACTAATTTGGCTGACAAAAAGATCCCATGCCATTGCTGTGCATGTCCATGTTTTGTCCGTGCTTGGATTTCTTGCAACTGGTAATTTTCAAAGACAGATAAGTGACTGAATACATTGGACTGCATTCCTTCAAAATGACAAACTTTTAAAAAAAAAATAATAATAATAATCAGGAAAGCTGCTGGCCCAGATCTCATTTCTCCCACCACAGTCAAACACTATGCAGAGAAACTAGCACCAGTGTTCACAGACATTTTTAATCAGTCTTTGGATTTGTGCTTTTTTTCTGCCTGCTTCAAGACCGCCATCATCAATCCAGTTCCTAAAATGCTTAAGATCTCTGACCTGAATGACCACATACACTACTAATATCTGTTGTAATAAAAACATTTCAGTGATTCATACTCGGTCATATCAAAAATGCCACCAAGGACTTCCTCGACCCCCTGCAGTTTGCATACAAGACCAATCGGTCAGCATTAAATATGGGCCTTCACTTCATCCACCAGCATCTGGACACCCCTGGCACATATGTGATAATCCTGTTCATTATCTTGAGCATAGCCTTTAATACAATAATCTCAAAACTGCTGGACAAGAAATTCACACAATTCAAACTGCAAAATTCCACCTCCCTGCTATCCATGCTCCCCCTCTCCACACTTCTGGTGCAACCAAATCTGGTCCTGAACACCCAGAAAATACAGGTGTTTATCAATTTCCGGGAAACATCATCTCTACAACATTCCCATATCACTCTAAAGGAGTGAAGTATATCATGTGCACTTCATAAAAGATAATTGGGTATAGCAACATTTCAGAGCAGCTAAAAACAAGACAGCACTCAAATAGTTTCTTCCCACAGGCAGTGCCCCTCATAAACAAGCTCTAAATTCATCCATTCTGTAAACATTTACATTTATGGCATTTGGCAGATGTCCATATCCAGAGCGACTTACATTTATCTCATTTTATACAACTGAGCAGTTGAGGGTTAAGGGCCTTGCTCAAGGGCCCAGCAGTGGCAGCTTGGTGGTGCTGGGGATTGAACTCATGACCTTCCCATTGGTAGTTCAACATCTTAACCACTGAGCTACTGTCCTAATTGTTTTATATTGTTTGTTGTACTTGCACTGTTTGCATTATCTGCACTGCACTGTGCCAAGTCAAATTCCTAGTACATCAAATGTACCTGGCCAATAAAATGATAAAATGGTTAATGAATATGTTAACATGGAGAATATTAATGTTAACATGGAGAATGACAATGTTAACTGAGAGTGACAATGTCATCATTTTTCATGACAATATATGAAGGCATAGTTGATGGGATGGTCAGTGTATTCTTAGCCATGAGACCAATGTGAGTGCAGGGATAGCTGTTCTATTCTCATATTAAATATTGGACACAAATATTTTAACTATTGAAGACATTTTTTTTAAGAAGGTAGAACCCTTCTAGTTAAAACCAAGGTTAATGGGGTGTCATTTATTAATATATACACACCCAATAATGTATCAGATCATTTAGAATAATTATATAATTTACATTTATGGCATTTGGCAGATGCCATTATCCACAGTGACTTACAGAAGTTTAATTATATGTGGATATTTTCAAGTTTTCTCAATGCATTTCTTAGCTTTCCAAATAATTTTCTTAGCTTCCCCAGTAATTTTGGTAGTAGTGGCTGGGTGATTGGAATTGCACCACAAATTTTATATTAGATAGAAATGGGGAGGACCCAAATAGCCAATTCCACTGTAACTGGTGCAAGATTAGATAGGCTTTGTGTAAACACATCTGAATGCAATATAGTTGTAATGCTGATATCAATGTGCGTGTGTGTATGTGTGTGTGTACAGTGTATTAGACTTTAGACTTTGTCACATCACAGTTTACACAATTTACCCAGGATAAAACTTATAAAAGGTCAGTGAAATTCTTATGTTACAAACTTCTCAAATCAAGCAGTCATTTAAAACGATAGATCTAAGTAATATTATGCATGATGGAGAAGTGTGTATACTTGTGTAATGTGTAAACTGTAAACTTTGTGTACAGTTTAATGTCCGGCTATGACAATGACCTGCTGTTCAACAGCCTTATGGTTTGTAGGAAAAAATTGAGAGCCCTGTGACAAAAGCAGTAGACCATGCATTTATTGCTGCTCAAATTTTGCTGGTTATCCATGGTTTCTGGTTGGGATATTTGAATGGTCTTTGTAGGAACAACATCCTCTAGATATTTTCTGATAAATTCTGTGACAGGGCCTGTGTACTTGTCAGTGTTGTTGTTGTCTGATGTAACCTTGAACATTTCTCAGTCCACATGATTAACACGTTCATCCTCATTATGTGACCTCCTAAAGTTGATGAAAAGCTCTTTCGTCTTCATGGTGTTAAGGGGCAGGTTTTGAGGCTTTGTATATTCCAGTGATTCCTTGGTACATTCCACTCCCCCTCCATTGCTCTTCCCGGACATACCGGTCCAGAATGTCCTCTGTTATCCAGGTTTCTGTTAGATTAAATTCAAGTCCAGTGCTCTTTCATCATCATGAGTACATCACAACAAACAATGCTAAAAAAAAATCTGACAAAGATAGAGACAGAGAGAAGGAGACTACAGCACGCACCAACACTACACTAACACACACTAATACAGGACCAGCCTAACCTCAGAAAATTCAAAAAAAGTAAATCAAATGATGATGTTCCAAACACAAAACTATATGAGGCATTGGAGAAACCAAACACAAGCTCAAAGTAAAATACAGTGCTATCTGGACCTACATTACCTGAACACAGTGACTGACCAACAACACAGAACCACAATGACAAGTACAGACTCAGCACACAAAGACTGGCCATCAAGATAAGCATCAAATCATGGCTCCAGAGCTACACTTCATGGAGACAGAGTTACACTTCGTAACTAAGTATGAAAAATGCACCAACATATGGCAAATTCAGAATATCCACCCCCAATTCTACACTCTTACCAATACTGGGAAAATGCACATCCTATTAGGAGAATGGAAAGAAAGCAGCACAGTACATTTCAGCCTGTAACAGTCAGAAGAACAATGAGTGAATCACCCAAAAACTCACAACCACACACACACAGCCCTGATAAACAGAAAGCAAGCCTATGAGCTCCAACAAAATCTAAGCAATTTAACGTGCTACAAAATTATATATTTAAAAAACTCATTTACAACAATTCCCTGTACAAATAGAACCTTATATGTACACAAAGCTCTATACATTGGTAATTTTAGGCAATCTGCCTCGCTTTCCAGCCTATCAGAGTCAGGTTGGAATAAAAAACACAAATAATAAAAAGAACAAATATGTGCACACCATTTATTCCAGCTGACTACATTTTTATAGAAAAATTCATAATTGGGCTGTGAAATATGTGAAAAAAAAAAAAAAAAAAAAGCTCAGCCACTACACAGCTAATGGTAGCACTTTCCTTTATTACATCTCTGCTGTTTCAGGCTTCAAAGCCAGAGGTGAAATCAGCAAAGCAACTCTGCTGTTGGTCAGCGATTGGAATTTGCAGGTCAAAGTTTAACAACTTTGAAGTTTAATGTGGAACTGCATAACTAAAAAAAAATCAACATCATAATCAAACACCACAATAATGTATTTTATTCCAATAAAATGCGGCAAATTTCTATGGATTTTTAAAAGTTTTATTTAATCAGATCCCCTTCAAATGATGTGTTCTTTATTACATTTGTGGGCAGAGGGGAACTTCCATGACTTCTTAGTGCAGAACTCAAGGACTGTATGCTTTTGAATAACATGTGGAAAGATACACAATAACCAGACTATACTGGTAAATGCTGATGCTTCTCTAGAAGAAAATCTGAAGTCATTCTATGTACACTTCAAGGCTTCCCAGTCTATTGTTCCCACCTGCATCAAAAAATCCATTATTATTTCTGTACCAAGGATGCTCGAATAACTATTGACCAGTAGCACTCACCGTGCAATGACGTGCTTTGAAGGACTAGTCAAGAACATTATATGCTACTCCCATCTACAGAATTTGGCTCCACTACTGTTTGCATACCAACTCAGTAGATCTCCTGGATAAGAGACAGGGAAACTACACAAGACATTTCAATTGATTTCCACAATATATCTCAATGTACTTCCACAATATACAAGTATATTGAGATAAATATGTTGGAGTGCATGGGATGGTGGGTTCCAAGACATCTTCTCTCCAGGCTTGTAGGAAATCCTCAGTGAGAGACCTTAGATAAACAGGCATTCCCTATATAATTAACTCAATTTATACTGTTGATTCTGGTAGGTGCTGACTGAGAATTATTGTTGGTTGTAATGTGGAAAAAAACCTTCAATATCAGGTATTGTTTGAGCTCTGAGGGTTGTGTATTTACAAGCAATGAAGGGTGTGGCATAGTATGGAAGTCAGTGAGTGTAGTGTCCATGCAAGACAGAGAGTGCTGTTTGGGATGAGGACCAGCTGTCAGATGGATCAGAAGTTATATATTAGTAGGTCTGTCTATTTCATTGCAATTGTGGACAATCTGACCACTGTGCAGATCATGTTACACCTCTCATATCATAATGCTTGAAAAATTCCAGACTTATGTGTTGTGCTCACTATTTCTTTATTTAGTTCAATGTTCTGTCTCCTCCATCTCCAGTGTGCTGTCCTTTAATGTGATTCTGAATGCAAACGCAATACTCCCCTCAGCTCTGGTTAAAAAAAGCAAGATGATAAGAGGTTAAGAATGAAGGAGAATGACAGAATCTCTCTCTCGGTCTGTGTCCCTGTCTAGCCCTATCTCTCTCTCTCTCTCTCTGTCAGTTGGCTGTGTCTGAGCTCCTCTGGCGTGCGAGTCCCATTGAGGGTGACCTGTCACTAGGTGTTACTGTCAGCAGCAGTGCCCTTCAGGTTCTCAGAAATGATCTTACACATTTTCAGTTAATCCTTCTTTGTAGCTTTTCTTTTGCCCACCTGCTGAGCAGATTCTGAGGCATCCTAATAATGTGACCTACCCTGACGTCAAGCCAACTGATCACCTTTGGGATGAACTAGAACACCGAATAAGTTCCCCAGACCTGCTCATCCAACAACAGCGCCTGACCTCACTAATGCTCTTGTAGCTGAATGAACACAAATCCCCACAGCCATGCTCCAAAATCTAGTGGAAAACCTTTCCAGAAGAATGGAGGTTATTATAACAGCAAAGCATGGACTAAATCTGGAATGGGATGTTCAATAAGCACATTCAATTCAATTCAATTCAATTTAATTTGTATAGCGCTTTTAACAATGGACATTGTCACAAAGCAGCTTTACAGAAATAAATGGATTCATAAAAAATATATTGCAAATATGTGAATTTATCCCTAATGAGAAAGCCAGAGGCAACGGTGGCAAGGAAAAACTCCCTGAGACAATATGAGGAAGAAACCTTGAGAGGAACCAGGCTCAAAAGGGAACCCATCCTCATCTGGGTGCAACGGATAGTGCAATTATAAATAAATCCCTTCTATTATTGTGTACTATATGGACAAATAGTGCAACTGTGCAACCAGTAAATTCATCACAGTATTTGCAAGAAGTCCAGTTGGTTAAAATCTATCCATTGTCCACTGATGGAGTCCTGAGTACGAAGGTGCTCGTGGCAACTGCAGCCCCAAAGCCACTACAGCAATCGCAGTCCCAAGCCATTGGGAAGTGTAGTCTGGGGCAGCCATGTTTGTAGGCCTCAGTGTGTTCTGGTAAATTGAGTTTGCTGACTGTGTTGACCTGACAGAGTCCCCTCCCCTGAAAGGCTCACTCCAGGAGCACTGCACTTTCTAGATCTCCCCCTCAGTCGTGAACCAGGGCGTTCAGAGTGACTGGCATAGAACTCCTGGCACAGGTTAGGGTTGAGGATTTTGTGTGCTGGGACCCAACATTGTTCCCCTGGTCTATACCCCTCCCACTCATTGAGGTACTCCAGCCTGCCATTTCTGCAACGAGAGAAATGCCATGTGAGAGAAGGCTGACACAGATGCAATTGCAGTTAAACATTTTTAGTGAAAGGCAGGCAGACAAATCCAGAATGT